AGGTGACTAGACATTTTTTCACGTCTCCTAGGAAATATCATACACATTACACACACACACACACACACAAACACATGCATACACACACACGCGTATACCACGTACATGCACCACACATGCATGATGATGATGATGATGATGATGATGATGATGATGATGATAAGCCTTTAAGAGAATATCTTCGGGAAGACAACCCACAAACATCTACAGTTTCCACTGACCAATTCAGCCTCAGGCCTGAGCCCAGGTTTCCTGGCCAGTGGCCATCAACACTGACCACTCCAAGCTGGGCCAATTCTGGGTGCCCCACTCTCCCCCAAGACATGCACAGGCTCAAATCCAAGCCAGACACTTCTCTTCCAGGAAGGAGTCACAACGGCAGGGACGGGCCCACAGCACCTCACCACAGCACACAGAGAGGACCAGCCCTGAACATGAGTGGTTCCAAGGTTGAGGCGCTCAGGTCTAGAGGAGTGTGAACGTGAACTCTGGCTGGAAGCATTGCACAGGCATTTATCTGCCTGTCTGTCCAGATCCTAAACAGCCTGGCACACAGTGGCGGCTCAGGGAGCAGCGACTGCCTGCGCTCCCGGGAACACGCTGGAAAACCACACAACTTGCACTCAAGGTACTCACCCCTGCGTCTCGTGTGCAGATGACTGAATTCAGGGTCACAGGGCTAAGTTACCTGCCTGAAACCAGGCTCTGGTCCTTGTACAAATGACAACAAATCCAGCACTCAGGCCCAAAGCAGGCCTGTGCTTTACCTGTAGAACAGCCCTTGGTTAACTCAGAAAAGCAGGAGCACAAACCCAATCGCAACCCAAAGCGAGCCCCCCCCCCCACCACAATACTGCAGAGGGCTGTCAGCCCACAGGGCAGCAGAAGCAGCACACGGAAGCTTTCTTTCTCGGATCCCTGTGACTGGCCGTTCAGTCCTCACACAGCAAGCCGAACCTTGGGAAGAGCCAATACAGTCTCCCTTCAAGAACATTCTGTGAAGCTGGGCCCCACTTCAGGTTGAGCGGGGGACAGGGACAGTGATCCAACGGGGACCACAGTCCCCTCCTGCAGGGTCACAGCACAGGCGAGCAGGGTGATGCCCTCTGCGGAACCAGCTCCCCCGCAGGGCTGCCCACTGGCGCTACAAGGTGTGTGTGAGGACGCCCTCCTTCACCTACAACGTGTGTTAGGATGCATCTTCCTTCGCGTGAGAGGCAGCAAGGCTGAGAGGGGGTCTAGAGCACCTTCCAGACCCAGAATGATGAACAGTGGCTGGGGTCCTGAGTTACTGGTGTTCCCTGACAGCACGCACACGAAAGGGGAAATCGCACAGTTCGTTGCTCAGGAGCCAGAGCCATCAGGACTCCATTCCCACCACACTGGTCTGAAGAGAGAAGCCCAAATACCTGTGTCCACAAACAAGGGCAGCGGGTTTGCCCTACGACCCCCAGAGCACTGGGCTGGTGTACACTGAGGAAGGAGCCCCCGCCCTGGGTAGGGTTGTCTGGGAAGAGCCACAGACCCTACCAGAGCACTCAAGTCAGCAGAGGAGAAAGGGCTAGACTGACGGGCCCAGGGAGGTTAGCCAAGAACAACCCCAAGACAGTTATGTCCACCTGAAAAAGCAATGTGCCAAAACCTGTGCTGTGGCCGCCAGGATTACTTCTTTAAAGATTTTTAGAGGTTGAATGAAGTGTTAACTGTCAGAGAAGAATGAAAGACAATTCCTCTCCACCAGGGAAGGACTCGGAGGAGACTAAAAATTCCAGGCTCAAGGCTAGACCTGGCACTGCCTGGACCCCTGGATGGAGGGCACCCAGGACCCATGCAGAGTCATCATTTATGGAAAGCCCAACTCAGGCTCAGAGTGTGTCTCCTCCAAGACACACCTCTGGTGTTCCAAGTCTCTTCTGAGGACAGCTCAGTCTGCAGCTCTGAGACGGCATCTCCCCATCCCACCCTCCCCTGGTTAATACAAAGACAGCTCAACAAACCAGAGCAAACTTGACCAGTCATCCATCCTGAGGAGGATGCACAGCCACCATGGCCCTGGTTTCAGCCCGATGGCTCTTCAACCTTACATCAGACCTCCCCAAGCCACCGATGGGGGAACCAGGGAAGTATCTCGGCACACCTCAGAACCACCTCGAGAGGCAAGGGGCATTTGATTCATCTGCAGGCATGTGGCCAGATCAGCTAGTCAGCAGGTAATCACGACACACTCCAAACTAATGAGTACCGAGCCCAGCACACTCCACAGGTCAGCCTCAAGTGCACATTAGCATGTGCATGTCTGCACAAAGCAAAAGGAACTTCTCTTCAGTTAACAGAACAACTGGGTGTCAGGAGACAGGAGGAAGCTGCCTGGCCCAGAGAGCCGCTGTGGGTTCAGTCTTCGCTGCTGGACCACCACTGGCCTCTGCTGCTCACAGTGAGCATAGCAGGAGCTGGGGAAAAGAAGGAGCAAATCAGGGCCCAGGCTTCACCCTCAGGGCTCAGGACTCACCCTCGGAGCTCAGAAGACGCTGGTCACCACACACTAAGCTTGAACATTCTCCAACTCCCTGAAGGTTAGGGTGACAAGTTTTCCAGAAACTTCCAGGACCATGCTCCTCTTTTCCCCCTCCCAACACAGAGCCCAACCAAAGACAATCAAGACTGCCGCCCAGGCTGAGCCTGTGTGGCTCCAACAGACCGCACTTCTGAGCCACCAGCATGGATACACCAGGCCAGGAACAAGCAACTGAACCTCAGTTTTCCTGGCTCAGGTCTGTCAGGAGCCAAATGTCCATGGTGCCCAGTCACCTGAGGGAAGTGGAAGCTGGAGTGAGTCTCACAACTGGGTGGTGTTCCACAAGACTGTCGCCCCACCCCCACCCCAGGATTGGAGTTGGAAGGCCCCACTTCTAACCTGCTAACCTGGAGCATGTGCCAGCCTGGGTCAGGATCACCAGTGGGAACAGAGCACATATGCAATGCTGTTCCATCCAGGGGGGCAAGAAGGTTTGTTTTCTCTGCTGATTGGGAATTAAAAGGCAGGTAAGGAGGGTTACCGGGGCTCCTGGGGAGTCCCAGTAGAGCCATCATGATCCCAGGGAAATTGGGGTCCCCTCTTGGGGTTCTTGGTCTCATTAATAAAGTTAAGACTGGACATAAACAGAAGCACGAGGATAAAGAACAGCCTCAAAGGGAACTCAAGGACAGTTTATTAGAGTTGAAAAGGAAAACCCCAGGGCAGGCACACGGTAAATCTCAGAGAGGACAATGGAGAAGATGAGGGAGAAGGGTAGCCACAGGGTGGGGAGGGGAGCTTTAGAGAAAGAGCAAGAAGCCCAAAAGGTTGATAGGGGGCTTAAGAGCGCACTTGGGCTCTGGCCAGACAGAACAGAAGACATGGTTACACCTTCCGAAGGAAAAGCAGCAGACCCAGCAGAGCCTCAGCATGGCTCTTAGGGACTGCACTAGGGGTGGGAATTCCGGGAAGGAAAAGCACATCGTCTTAAGGCCCTCCTAGGGGATGGTCCCCTAACCAGGTCCCTGACCTGCCCCATGGGATTAAACCGTAAGGGAGGAGAGAAGGGCATGTCGCCACCTAGAGGTAGAGCCCATTCTTTATATAGGACTAGTCTAACCCACCTCTAACTGCAGAGCTAGAAGAGGGACAGAGAGGGAGCCAGGAAGGAATGCATTTGCCACTGCAGTGACTGCATCCCAAGCACATGGCCCAGGCTCAGTCGCTGGCACCTCACCACCGGGGGGCATGCAGCCTAGTGGTCACAGGGAGGCACCATCTCCATGTATCTGTTTCCTCCCCTTTAACAAGATTACTGCCCTCCACAGGAGGAGGACAGGGATCAAACAGTAGAATAATTCCAAGCCTGGGCCTCCGCACAAGGGGGAAAGAAAACCACAACAGCCCATCAGGGCCGCCCCCAAAGTCTGCAGAGGCTGCACAGGCCCCGTCAGCAGCAGCACTGTCCAGAGACACAGGACAAACCTTCCAGCATGTCACCGGCACAGGCCACTCACTCCCAGTGCTAAGATGGCCATGGAGGGTGATTCAGAACTGTGCACATGATTTACAACATGGAATCCTGTTGCTCCAACACGCTGGCCAGGCAGACCTTTTCAGAGGCATTTGCATAAACCGTCTGACAACTTCATGTTGTCAGCCCTCATGACAAACATTTTGCCAAGGCTTTGTTTAATCTTCTGACCTCTGGGGCCATCACATCCCTTGACTACGGGTGCTAAGTGAGGCAGCCTCGGAAGGAAGCTGCACAGAATCCTACAATTTGGGTGACAGTCAAGGACAAAGAACAGCTTTTCACAGCTGGCCTGAGGCTCAGCACTGGTTGTGGCCAGAGCAGACCCAGCAGAAAAGGAGTCCATCTTGGAGGGAAGTCAGGCAGGAACTCAAGGTGGCAACCCAGAGGCAGGGACTAAGCAGACCACGGGTGAGCACTGCTCACTGGCATGCTCTCCTGGCTTGCTCAGCTACCTCCCTACAGCCCAGGTGCACCCGCCCAGGGATGGCACCACCCACAGTGAGCCGGGCCCTGCTGCATCAATAAGCAATCAAGAAAATGCCCCACAGACACAGCCAGGGGCCAGTCAGATCTAGTCATTTCTTCAGCTGAGGCTCCTACTTCCCAGGTGACACTAGTTTGTGTCAGTTGTCACCTAGAGTGACCTGAGACACATCCCACAGGCTAGGGGCCCAGACGGAAAAGTGCAGGGGGAGTAAGCCCGTGAGGACAGGCATTCTCCCTACTTCCTGTGCACTGTGGGGTGAGGAGTGTGTCACCACACACTCCTGCCACAATGCTCTCCTCCCCATGGGCCCAGAACCAAGGGAGCCAAGGCCTAAGGGCCAAAAGCGCTGCAGCGGTCCGAGTCCGAAGGAGCCCATCCGCCTTTGTTCCCAGGCATTCTGTCACCACCATCAGACCAAATCCTTGTTTCATACCTCCGAGGGTCCCTGAAGGCAGTGAGACCCTCATATCCCCACCTCCAGCTACGGCAACACATCCACCTGGCCCAATATCTGGCTTCCATGCGAGAGACTGTCTGGGCACAAAGTGCCCCACCACTCAGGCAAGCTTTGCTACTCCGTGCAGTGCCTACTGGTCTGAGCTGTGTGGTCTTGTGCTGAGACCCCACTGTCTGGGCTGCACAGGGCAGGACACCTGCATCTTGCCACAAAGCAGTCCCCACCCACTGTCACCAAGACCCACCTCACTGAAGACAATCCTGGGCGGCTGCCTGGAGCGCTGCATGGTCGGCCTCGATGTGGTTTTCCATGTCCTCCCAAAAAAGTGTCGGTAGGTGATGTCAAAGAGAGACACTCGCAGGTGGCAATCAACCTCTGACAACACGTCCAGCACTCCCTAGAAGACAGCAAAAAAAGCCCTGAAGAGCCACCCCAGGGCTGCTGAGGGGCCCTCCAGAGGGCACTGGGGCCCACAGCACCCACCCCAGGTTTAGAAACCAGCAGCCCAATTTCCATTTGGTAACCCACCTCTCTCCACAGCACCTGGTCTGGTGGAGTTATAAATCACAGTGCTCGGCCCTCCCCTGACCAGTCAGAACCTTGAAAGGCCCTGGGACAAATGCAGGCTCAGGACACACCCAGTGGCAACAGGACATGAGTGGCTAGGACTGCAGGTGACAGTCCTGTATGGACCGAGGGGTCCTGCGGACGAGACACTGGTGCAACAGGACCACGGGGCCCTGGAGCAGGAGGGCTGAGAGCAGCACTCCACCTTTTCTAAATGACCATATTTTCTTTTCTTTGGTCTTTTTGAGAGACAGTCTCCCTGTAGCCCCAGCTAGCCCGGAGCTCACTATGTAGACCAGGCTAGTCTTGAACTCACAGAGATCCACCTGCCTCTGCCTCCCAAGTGCTGGGACTAAAGGTGCAAGCCTCCATGCCTGGCTATATTTTCTTATTTTACGTGTTCTCTGGCATCTGGGGTCTCCCTGACAAGAAAGACACGCCCCCTCTGAATAATTCTCAGAGATGGCCAGCAGCTTACCACGAGAATATCTCTGATGGGCAAACCCACCAGGGCAGACCTCATCTCCCCTCATGCTCCACCTGGCCCTCACACTTCCCATCCCAGGACGCGATCCACACATCACAGCCTGTCCACCTGCTGTGGAGCTGTAAGAAGCTTTCTTCTTGATGGCTGTCATCTCCTGATCTTAGCAAAATCCCAGCATCATTTCGGACCCTGAGTTCCATGACCGCAGCAGGTTGAGCAAGGGGCGAAGACTGGAACAAGACTGAGATGCACAGAGACTGGGGAGAGGCTGCGCCCTTACTACCAACGAGATGAAGAGCCGGGGACAGACACCCACCCACCCCCAGCACACACGGCCCGATCTGATTCAGGACTTGAGTACAGGTGCCATAATATGAGGACCAAGAATAGGGCAGGAGAGGAGGTGAGGCAAGCAGAAGCTGCGGCCTCCGTCCAGGCGGGAGGAGCCAAGGGGCAGACCGGGGCACCTCAGGGTCTGTCCTGATGGAGGGGCTGCACAGAGGTAGCCACAGGCTGGACTTGGCCTGTGAGGGAGAAGCAGGAAGGAAAGGTGACCAGCTGCTTCAGGTGACGCAGCCTTTCCCAGGTCCAGCTGTGCACTGTGTCCCCCTAGTTAAGGGTGACTGCACTTTCCTGTGTGGAGCAGCTGGGAGAGGTGGCTTCATCTGCACGGATGAAGAGGACAGGACAGGACAGGACTCAGGTAGGAACCCCGCTCAGCCTCAGTCATGGTGTTATCCAGGGTGGGGCAGCATCAGAGGCCTCTGCCTGCAGCCTCCCGGACTCTTCCCTCCACCCTCTCCGCACCTACCAGCCCGCTGTCCCATGCCCTAGGCCTCCCTGACCACAGCCACCCTCTGGTCCTTGGCCCTGCCCAGCATCTCCCAGGGACTGTGCAGGCCTTCGGTCGCTC